CAAAGGTTTTACTGAAAACACTAGTGAGGCTAATAGGATGATAAGAATTAACATCAGAGGCAGGTTTACCTGGTTTCAGAAAAAGCAGGATAGTGGATAACTTCCAGGAATCAGGAAAAAGTCCTGAGGAAAGAAAGGTGTAGAACAATGCAAGAAGTCAAAGGAATTGCAGAGGGGCATGACGGACTTGGCAGTATGTGATGCCATCAGGACCAGGGGCAGTGTTACATCTGTTCTTCAACACCCGCCGGACATCAGCTGCAGTAATGGAAGCATGTAAGAAATCGTTGATAACAACATAAGAAGAACTAGGAGTAAGGTCCACGAGGGAGGCAACAGTTGAGTTAAGGGTGGTTGTAGTGTCACTGTAATGAAGAATATGACGTTCCAGTATATGAAAGTTCTGTTCATGAAAATCAGGAAAAAGATTGGCCTTGTCCAAAGATGTAGCACCATCAACAAGTATAGGATAGGAGGGAGAGCATCGTTGACCTGTAAGAAGCTTAAAATGGTTCCAGAATTGAGAGGAAGCTAATCCTTGACCTCTCTCATATAAACATGTTAAAATTTCATTATTTGTGACCTTATAATATTTCATAAGTTGTCAGTACATTTATAAAATTTCCATCACCAAAGCTGTAAATTTAGACTTGTTATACATTTCATAGACTATTTTCATTCTACCAAATAAAGAAACATAATATCAAATAGAAGAGTGTTGAGCTTAATATATATTTTATTTGTAGCTTTAATCCGAATATTATATATATTTCATCCACCTACCTTGAGATTATAGACAAGTTTGTTAACTAAGTAGATTTGGTAACTTGCTTGTACGAATTTCTACAGCTTTACCAAGTTCTGATTAGCTTGCTATCTAAGTGAACCTTACCTTTTTTTAAAATGTTCCATTTACACTGAGGCTAACCGAACCTCACAAAAGTGATGTTCTAGATCCAGCCCTGCCTAACAAAGTCCTCCTCTATCATCATTGACTTTAATCTGATAACTATAATCTTATCTAGCTTCTGCAAAGAACAGCGAGGTTAATTTTAGACTACACACATTTACAAACTTTCCACAGGCCCTCCAGTGTATCTGACGACAAAGACTTCTAAGACCATGTTTTAGCAAACCAAAGGTACAAAAATCTACATGTATTTACACTGACGGCTTAACGTCTACTTGATCAGTTGGGATTGCTGTGATTCTAGTTTCTTTTAATTCTTACTCATAAAAACAGCTGTGGATTTTGTGTTATTCTCTTTGTCTTTTTGATTTGGAGGGCTCTCTTTTGCAAAAACAGCCTTCACTTTATAGCTAAGAGTATGGGTCTAGATTGGCTGGAAGTGAGACTTTGTAGTTCCTTGCTGTCCCAAACGTACTGCTTTATGAAATTTTTCACTTCCATCTCTAAGACTGGAGACTCCTGTATTCCAAATTATGGTGTTCAAGCTCTACATCATTTAACAATATCACTATAGAGGCATCATTCATCGGATAATCTTCGCATTTTCTTCCAGCTAACTTGAATCAGGTTACTTTGCACTGTCAATCTGTTTAGTAGCCGAAAATTTCTCATGGAATTATGATATACATCTGCAGTGACACACTACTGTATTTTCGTAGACAGATCCTTCGTATAAAATGTGATTAACTCTCTGTATTAAGTGCTTTACTTTCACCTACTTAATTCTATAAGGTGGCTTTACAGAAGGTTAGTCACACTTTATAGGAATGACGTTACTAATCTTGTAATGACCTTGGAAGTACTATCCGTTATCATTCGTCGTGCTAGTTCTGATTATCATGATTTTGAACTAGTACTTGATACTCCAATTTCAATTGTAATACGTTTCTTTAAGAATACCAAGACAATCTCAGACTGTACACATATTGAAATACTTTCCACAGACCATTCACTGGATGTAGGTGCCGGTTTCCGTGACCCTCTTTAGGAAAACTAAATGCATGATCTGTCTGTGGTTATACAGTCAGAGTACGCATATCAGTTAAGAGGACAGCATGAACTCCGGCTTCCTTATCCGTGGTTTGTAGGAATCCTTCTGAGAAGGTAGATATCTGACTTGATGCTTTATCCTGATGTAGCCATATCTTCCTGATATTCTGACCAAATGGTAAGGGATATCATCATGTGTATGCATAATTGTTGTCGATACGTTCTCTTCAGGGTAAAGAGATATCATCTTTACTTTACCATGCACTCTGTGGAGTTTAAGTTTCCCATTATAGAATAAACTTGAGACAACAATAAAGTTTAACGAAAAATTTTCTGTACCATCTTTGTAGCAAATCTCCCGATTATTATCGCACTCATTCATGCATACCCAGGCCTAATTCACTGATACATCAAATTTCTCTCTCTCATATGCATTTTTTCTCGAACCCTTTTCTGTAGTTTGTCTTTCTTTCAGCACTGTGTCTGGTGATCAGTTGTATACTATCGTGTTAATTATAAGTTTACTTTGGATACTATAACACGAAATACAAAATAACTATTTATAAACTACTTATAACTATTTACGTTTTCAGCTTAATATCGTAATATTTAAGATGCATTTTAAATCTGAAAAATACTTAGTCATAATTTAAATATTATAAACGAGAACATTTATATAAAATATTTTGTAGGGTAATTTCATGAACAATAAGAAAGCTTTTACTAAATTATGTGTTTGACAAAAAAAGAACCTACAAAAACAAGAATAAGCAACACAAACAAGATCTCTGACTGATATATGTACTTTATTTATTTTCACACATGAACATTTGACGTCACTATATACAATCCTACAGTATAAACTCAAGAGGATTAACTGATATTGGCCAGAAACTTTCAATTGATATTTAGTAAAATTCAAGTTTTATTTTCACTTTATTTAAAGCCGCGCGAGTCTTACTATGATTAATATTTATGAACATTTATAAATTACGTAACTCAATCACTTTATTAAAACCTATCAGAAACGCTTATTCACCAAAAATGTTTACAATGTTTAAGGACTGACGTAAATGGGAAACTCCAAGAAGAGTACTAGCTTTATTATCAAAGTATGGGTAACTAAACTGATCATTCGACTGGGATAGAATTCTGAATCCCATTATATTACACTATCAACATTTAAAATCAATAAAATAGCTTAAACGATCTCCATTGTTATGTGCCTACTTATCGCTATAGAATAAGCGTTTGAACATATTTATGCCAAATAAATGATGTAACATATAAACCAATACTTTTATTGACAACTCTAAAGTATGCATATTGTATTAATGCTGCCAAGTTTAAAATTCAACAGAATAACTTTGGTTTGTATACCTCTTCCACGCTCCTTATTATAAACAAGCACACCTACGAAATAAACACCAACAATAAAAAAATATCAAAACGCTGTTTCTCCTGTTAACATCCCAACTGTTCTGGTGTTTTCATTTCTAGAATATCCTCATTGTAAAAAAAATATTAATGAAACGGCAAAACTTACGGTTATCCAAAAATAAAGTAAAAATGAGTTAGTACAGTATTTTTGGCATAAGGCGTTTTGATATTCGGTCCAACAACTGACAATTCCTTAATTTCCATTAACAGTTATTTAGTCAAAATAAAAAACATATTTTTAACATGTAAACGAATTTTTAAATATACTTTGAATATCATTACGTTTTGGAATATGTATTTGATCTAAAAGAGAAAAACTAGATAGAAAATATTACACTTGTCAACATAAGGAGTTATATATACATTTAATTTTAGTTTTCATAGAAAACTTCAAATCTCATCTCAATGGTTTATTCACTGTTCATAAGCTTTGTCCAAATGTTTGGAAATTTTCTTATTATCGTAAAGGTTTGGCTTGTTTTGAATTTCGCACAAAGCTACTCGAGGGCTATCTGCGTTAGCCGTCCCTAATTTAGGAGTGATAGAATAGAGGGAAGGCAGATAATTAACATCACCCACCGCTAACTCTTGGGCTATGCGTTTACCAATGAATAGCGGGATTGGCTGTCGCATTATAACGCCACCACGTCTGTAAGGGCGAGCAGATTCGGTGACGGGGTTTCGAACCCGCGACCTGCATATTGCGAGTCGAGCGCCCTAACCACCAGGTTATGCCAAATCATATATCGTAGAAAAACTATAACGATTACTTACTACTTGTTAAAAGTAATAAAAGAAAGCACGAGGCAACATGTTTGTAGCTGTCCAAAAGCATTATTGCTTTATTTTACATCTACTAAAATAATGTTCACAATCACTCTCAAACCCAGTGCTGTGAAATATTTGAGCTTGATATATGACCGCCAATTTATATGACATGTAGATATAAACAACAAAACATATATCATGTATTTGTTCATATTTATTGTTACTCATCTGGAAAGCATTAAAACTAATACTATGTTATGGCTGTGGACGTTATCACTAACTGGATGCTTTATCTGTTTTTGTAACGTTCACCACTACACTTTTAACATTTGATTGCACTGTACACAGTTATTAACACACAAACCATATCAACTACAGCTTACATTTTAATTATTATCTCAAATTTGGAGTAAAATATTCATTCCTTAATTATACTTAAAATTAAATAAACGTCGGTAAATTCCTTTGTGAGCCAATCAAAATTAAGATCATTCATGAAACGAATTCGTGGCGTATTCATAGATTAATTATTGGTAAAAATCAGTTAGATTAACAACTTCTAATATATAGAAAAGCCAGTGCTTTTTGGTAACATTAAGTTCCAATAATGGCTTTTATGTCAAGTTGCTTAGTAACAAAAGTATAACATAATATTGTTGTTAGTCTATGTACTGAAGGTATAAAATGAAATGTATAGACAACAAAACTGGAAAACATATTTGTTTATTCCTTGATTTAGAGTTTCCGTTCATTAAAGATGTTTTTTTTATATTTAAAACGTTCGTGATATAACAAAAAATAGCTTCATTCAGAAACGATTTAAGTTTAAAATTGAATTGAAATTGTTACTTTCATGACAAATTTTATGCACTTGGCTCTAGGCTAGGTGATCCTACACTACGTCTTTACTTTAGGCTTATCATACCACACTCACTACACTTATAAGGTTTCACGCCCCTGTTACAACCCGTCACTAAAATCTTAATGGGCAGACAGTAGTCGAACTATTCTATGTGGGTAAATGCATTTTGGCTTTTATGACTCTTTCTATTTTGAGAATTCGAGAAAAATCAAGCGTGACGTGACACACACAGGCTTGTATAGTTAATATTCACTCACTACTTTTCATTGCAAAATTACTCTTAAACCTTGCAGCAATTGAAAGAATAACCCTATTTCAAAAATCTTACAGAAACAGAATATATAACCGATAAAATCATTAGAAGTTTTATCGTTTTATATTTTAGTATTCCGTGTTTCACACTATTGCCATTGAACATACGCTGCCATTAAAATTTTTACATGTTGTATTGTTTAACAGATATTTTTGCGTTTCTTTCAACTTGTAACAGTTGTAGAAATTAGCCTTGTTTCTGGTAAAGTATAATGAACTATTGTACGTATAGACATATATCACACACATGCTGGAATGCAACTATTTTACATCCTGTCAAATCACAAGTTCAATTCAATACTTTCTTTTAAAGAAAGTCAACCTAGTACAATCTCCCATAAACCGTTATAGAGGAATAGCAAAATATAATGTTTCAAAAACAAAAGTTGAAGAAAAATAAAACTATGAGTAAACAAAGAAATGCGCATCCCAGCCTTACAACATGACTTTTGTTGCTACGAAATAAGCAATGTAATTAGGTGTTGTAACATAGGAAAACTGGAAAATAACATGTATATATATGTGTGTGTGTGTATATATAAAACTGAGTAAACAGTTTTACAAACTTCTTTATTATTTCAGCACCGACAAAACTATTATTTATAACCATATCCTTTCTGAACAACTTTAGAGAAGATCTGATGGGGGCACATATATATAATTCGAAAATGTTTATATGCGGGCTATGTCCCGTTTTTAATAAATGAAACTTTGCTGTGCAATAGGTCAACATTATGTGTGCGATTTTAATCTTTTGGGTTTTAATTTACAGTAATTTTAATGTATGATTATGTATTTGATCATTGCGAGTTAATCTTTTAAATCGCTGCAATCGTAATATCTTATCAAATCTTTTGATCGTTTTGTCTTTACTATTTATTCATTTTTAGAGATTCCTCATTTGTAAGTGAATTAGGACTAATACATTATCTTCAGTTAAGTCAATTCAGTTTATTGAAATAAAATAACTTTTGTTTGGCTCACTCTTTATAACTGCATACCAATGGTTGTATGATTATTATTACACGGACTCTAGCTTTTTACTTTTTAATGAAGTTATTCTCTAAAATTTTAAGAATGAAAGATTTTGCCCAGCCGCAAATTCTTGAAATAATGACAACAATGCAAATAAGATAAAATTTTATACTTTCAGAGTTGCCTATGTCGATTACTAAAGACAAAAAAGTTTAGTACGAAGAAATGTGATTTGGCAGTTTTCTATTCCAGGACTGTTGTATAAACAGGTTTATGATTTTTTAAAGCTAATCGCGTTGCTGCTATGCGTGTTAGAAATTTAGATTCGTTTTCAATCTCAAAGGAACAAAATGATTAAATCGACAAAACGACGACAATTAATAATACTTCATGAGAAACATTTGAGGTCTAAGTTGATACGTGTACTACATTATAATAACAATACTTTTTCTTTCGTTCAAATATCTCCTCACTTCTCATATAAATTGCTTTATATTTGTAGATAATTCATAAGTCGTGAAACATACCTCAGAGGATTTTATTTAAAGCGGATATATTGAAAACCTAATATAACTTTTTTAACAATTTACATTTCCTAAGTTATTATCAACAAAACATCACTTGAATGATGAGTACTACACAATTTCGCATATACTGTTGAATTAGATTACCTGAAATCAGTACGTCCTCTCTGACTTTAATTACCAGACTCCCCAAAAGAAATCATCCTGATTTGACTAGACACAAATTAGTTTTTTGTTTCTCCTTTCCTAAATGCATTCTGATACACTTTCTTGAAAGTACCGTTATCATCTGAAGGGCTGAAATGACGAAATGAAAGGACAAATCCCCGCCATGGTCAGTTTTGGGTAATTCTATTCAATAACTTTGGATTTCTCTTCTTGTGTATAAAACTGGCAGTGAGTTTCTTCATCCGATGGAGAAGTTATATCTTCACTAATGGGCTGGAAAGGTAACGCAGTACTTATAAGATCTGCAGGACGAGGAGGCAACAAAGGGACTGGCAGCGCAAGCGTGTAGGATGTTTGACGCACCATCTGACGGCGGTAAAGTGCCGATTGTTTTTGTAATACTTGTCTCTTCTGCTGAAGACTCTGATGAAGCAGTTGTTTTTGCAAAAGTTTGTTTTGACCAACTAGCATTCCTCCACATTCTGTGGGAGGCACTAGCCGGGGTTCTTCACAAACTATTCTCTGTGTTATAGCTGAAGACTTTGAAATATCAGTAAAATTCTCTGGGAGACTGACACGTTTATAAATTTTGGTTGGCAGATGGTTATTTGAAGATGGAACTGAGCTTCTGGTAATTGACCAGTATTGTGTGTGTTGTAGTTTGTTATGGAATTTCTGAGCATGTGGCAACTGACTTGGATACAGATTCTGAAGTTGCTGGTATTCTTGTTTAACTTCGTTTAATCTAACAATCCCATGAGCTTTAGAAGACTGGCTAAGTCTCTGACAAAATGGGACTACACCTTCAGCAAAAAAACTATCTGAGGCACGACGACCTTCTCGAAAACTTGTGGGGGAGTCTTTAGCACTGCGATCGAAGTCTATTGGATTATGTCTATAAGAAGATCGATTTTTATTGTTGATTCGAATGGGGATTCTAGTTTGTGAGAGTACCTCACACGGAATGGTTGCACACAGCGATTCATCACGACTATCATAAAAATTTCCAATACTCAGGTTTTCCTGCGCAGCACAGGAAGACAGACTAGACGCAAAGTCTGTTTCTATTTGCGAATCAAAACTATCAAAGTTAGACTCTTGGCTAGTGAAACTTCCAACAGGCGAGTCTGACAAACTAAGCATTTGTGTGAGATTGCTTAGTGGTGGGCTGTCTCTATGACCATCATTTAATTCGGAAAACGCTCCACAGCAAGTAGCGTGTTCACTATACTGGCAAGACGATCTTCGTGTAACTAAGGGTGGGGTCTTGGAGTCTCTAGATCCTTCGCTAAAATCAGCCTCCAATCCTTCATCTAATGACTCGGTTACTTTGGACATGGGACTACCAGTTTGACTGCGAAATACTTTAGGGATTTGATAAGCTTCAGGTTTAGAATGGACTGAAAGAGGTAAAAGTTGACCAATCTCTTTCTTGCTAATTCGATACGCATGCCCAATAAAAGGCCCACCAAATGTCGTCGTTCCGTCTGTTGTTTTACTAAACACATGATGCCTCAAAGCACCAATGTATGGACGCGACTGTAACGAAAAAAAATATTTAGAAAAGCAGATAAAAAAGAAACAAAAATGAAAGCATAAAATGTTGAAATAGTAGAAATATTTTTAGAATGCATGGACTTTTTTGAAAATATATTCAACTGTAGGCTGTAGGTTTAAAACAAAAATGTATTATATTTTGCCAAAGATGCTTCATAATTAAGGATTGTTTGCTTTCTTTCGCGTATTTAATTATCGTGTATTGTATGAGGTATTTGAAGTATATATATACACACACATACAATTTTTTGTAATGCCGCTTCAAGTTTCTTGGAGACTCTGAGTAAAGATATGTGATATCTGATTGAGAATCCAAGTGGGTTGGTATTGAAAGAAGAGTTGAATTCACAAAGTGAAGGCATTTATCAGTATTAATCAGTTAGGTGGGCAATAGGTTTTGAAAATGTACGCAAACTAAGATTAGTGTTTCCATCAGCCTCTTTCTCAATTTATGAAACACAAAAAGGTATCTAGAATACATTTTATCAGTATGTTACTATTTATGTTTTCCAGTGAATTATGTTAATTAAAAAATAAAAATCACCTCAGACTGATAATCCACAGCATCCGCTTGTGACGTAGGTGACCCGGATGATGGACATACTGACTGAGGATAAAGATTATAAACTGGCAATGGCGAATCTAATTTTCTCATTGCTTGCTCAGCTATGGTGCTAGGTCTGCGCAGGTCGCAAATGTCAGCTGGTTGTTTCAGTATAGCAGCTGAAACAGTTGCCCGATGTTGCCGAAGACGATCCAATAAAAGGAAGTAGATGGCAGCGTGATGGTCATACTTCTCATTCACTAAAGACTGGTAGAGAAAAAAATCTGAATAACATAATTCTTGATACAATCAAGAAAAAACATGGTTAAAAACATTTAAGACACCAAAATCACACACATACATATTATCTTAAAAGATAATAGAGTGAATGAGTTTTGTACCAATAGATGTCACTACACTACTAATGGCGTATAGGGGAACATTGTTTTTCATTAAGCAAAACTAACATGCTACATTCGTGTTTTTAAAAGTTGCAGAGTTTTTAAACATACATGCGATGTTAACATCGCACCACAATTAGTTATATAATCAAAATTATATTTGAGCGTCAATTTCTTTCATTATTAACTAATAAAATATTTTTAATTAATCAAAAGTTATGCCTCCAAGCATTTGAAAACTGGCAAACTCAACTGTAACGTGACATAATTTCTTAAGAATGTTATAGAAACTTACAATAAGAAATCGGTATTATCCACTAAAAACACGCTATTTGAGTATCAAGTATAAAGTTGAAATAAATTTTGTACTTTAAGATATTGCTTCAGATACGATGGATATATATTCCCTATATACACTATATTTATACTTTAACTTTCGTTTAATTATTCGCATTTTCCTATCAAACATTTTTCAGACAATGTATTCCAGAGACAAGAGAAAGTAGAATATCAAAACTATTGCTTGTTGTCACCTAGCAACCATTCCTAGAAGTTTGACTATTTTATGCATTGCGAGATCAAGGCCACAGTAAAGTGTTTATATTAAACTCGGGCATCATAGATAATGTTGTAATATTTCCTAATTTGTGTATTGTAATTATATTTTGAATCGACGGTCTATTTATTCTTGAAATATGTGAGTAAACATTTAATCCAGCTTCCAATGGTGTAATGTTACTCTTTTTGTTTGCTTGTTTTGTGTTTACACGCTACATAATTCGACTACCTGCGCTGTGTCTACGACGGGTATCGGAAACAGAAAACCGGGGACCAATGTTACTATATTATTTCCATGTTTCGACATTAACCCTGTTATGGTTATTGTTACGAATACATCTCTGAGAGAAAGTCAAAACACATTGTAGAGGTAAAATACACCAAATTAATTACATATTAGTAGTTTAGTACAAATGTAGTTTGCACCAATGGAAAAATAATCTAAATATATGACCAATTTTCGGGGAAAAAATATGGTAATAAACAAGACAAGCTTAGGGTAAAATCTCAAAAATTTGATAATTTTCTAATTATGGGATCAAATTCAAGATGGCCGCAAAAATATCTAAAGATACATATCTTAAACACATAGTTGTCGTATACAACAGTATTTGGTGTCTATGTGGGGATTCTGAGAGTCAAAGAATTAACTTCATATAACAAGTACGTTATTTATTCAGGTCAAATTATATATTTATACATATATATATATAGTAATTTTTATTTTTTGCTGGTGTGTCTGTTTGTTTTTAATTATGCACAAAGCTACACAAGGGCTATCTGTGCTCTGCCCACCACGGGTATCGAAACCCGGTTTCTAGCGTTGTAAGTCCGCAGACATTCCGCTGTGCCACTGGGGGGCTGCTGGTGTGTCCAAATGAAGTTCTGTAATTGGAAAAATGATAAGACAAGTATGACAATCGAGAGGACAGAAATTTACAATAGTTGAAATGATCAAAGTACTGTGTATACTTTGCGTTGTACTATGGTGAAGACAAAATGCACTACCCTATTGACTCATAGAAAAAATTAAAGTGTCTAGCACTGGAACAGTGGAAGTTAAATAAATATGGGGGAGTTTTTGAGAAAGCACACTGGAATGATGGTCTAACTGTCAGGGTTTTTCATAAATTGTGTAAGACTGTATCCACGAGTAAAAAGTAGCTTTAGCAATCCAAAAGTAGGAAAAGAAAGAGCATATGCAAGAAAATATCGTATCCCGAAGTGAATATGACAGCTCTCCATTAAAATCCTCATTGTTCTTCTGCTAGACGTTCACGGAGTAGTCCTCTACAAAACAATGATTTTTAGGTTTTGTGGATAAATCCAGAAGACAAACTTCATCCTGACGGCGATAAGTGGACGCATAGCACACGTTCAAGATTCATATAATGTACCTATAACATGCGGTAATATGTGCCACATTTTAGCTGTTAATAATGGATTGTTGAACATATATCCTTTTCCGATGAGATTCGGTGTAATCACTATTGTTGGAAAACCATGTCTCTCCAATATGCAAACATATTGCAAATAGTTGTATATGAATGAGCCAAAAACATTACAAGAACTACTAATGGACTAAAATAATCTGTTGAGGAATTGCGGCTATGATACAATAAAAAAGGGATTCAAAGGGGGTTTCAAACACCATCGTATTTCATGAGAGTACCATATGACATATCCATAGGTGGAAGATATGTAGAAGCTGCAATCTACTTTTAGCGAGTGCAAAATGAACAACTAGCAAATACCATTGTCAGGTGTTTGGAAGATAAGTTATCAAGTAATTCAGGCACAAGCTACCCTCCACATACTGATGGGTTTGGGAACACAGAAGAATCTCATCCTCAGTTACGAAGATTTATTACCTGGCTAAGGAACCTTGCTGCTTGTGACGTCAGTGATACCTGCCAGGTTCTTGAGATTACAACCTTGCCATCACTGACTGTTTCGTTTATCACGGGGAAACACACTTCCTTGAAAGTCAAGTTAACAATAATAACTCATATTCTGACCAGAAGTGGCAAGACTATAGACCCTATGAAGAAATTATCACTCGGAAAAAGCTTCCAGGATGTTCTTAACATGTATGTTACATGATCTATGTTTTAATTTGAAAAGAACTAAAGAACTTGCAAAGAATGTGAGCTATCTTGTAGAGTTTCCCAACTCTTTTCATGGAACTCCTATTCTAGACAATTATGGCTTTCAGGATGGCACATTGACTGGAATAGATACATCTCACCATACAAATATTTTTGTTTATTCAAAAAGAGGATGTTGCTAAAAAAATATTTCTAATAAGATTCATCCTAAACTAGACATGACAAAGCCTCTTGAGATGAAAAATATCATTTGAGAACAAAACATAGTTCAATCTTTCAAGATTGTGAAATGTGGCCTCACATCAGTTTAAGCTAAGGGTAATATCTGATCACAAAACACTATAGATCAAAGATCAGAGAAATGGTCCATTCTTTAGTTCGTTTAGATAAAAAAAGATATTCTAGCCAAATGATAAAAGATTGGAGCACTAGCTGGATTTCAGTCAATATTCAGAAGTTGGCTAAAAAAGAACAATGCATATTTTTACCTTACAATCGTTCAAGGTATCCAACAAGTTAATATTAAATTAGGTGATGTGCTGCATGGTCGCTACTGCGACGATGAAATCAGCACTGTTCGATCAAATGGTTCGAGGCCAGCCAGTCTATGCTCTGACTGTGCAGTGAAAAATGAGAATCCTACACAGCTTGAACTCTTCCTTCCATTCATAGATCCATTCCATGCACAGTGTTCTTTCGTATCAGCAATAAATACACGATTCAAAGGATCTGGTTTATCTGACATTCTTTTTGGAGCTGTTGTGATTACTGAAGGTTCAGTTCCCAAAGAACTTGGAAGCATCTGACCTCTTTCATTGGTGTAGGAAGTACTTTTTCACAAAATACTTCAAAATGGATTTGAAACAATTGAATGTTCTAAGAGTTCAGTGGCAAAGTATTGGCTCAGATTCATTACACAAATGAAATACTGATGATGAATATTCATGTGTTAAGAACTCAGGATTGGAAGCATTGAAGATATAAATTAGTAAATAGCTCTGGAATGACTACATCAAGTAACCTTGTTCAAGACTTTGAAAAATCATATAAAGATGGTAAATAATTAGTTACTAGACCACCTATCCGAAAAGAAACCATAACTATTGTAACGTGGACAAGTATAAATGCAAACAAAGGCATGACAGAAGTAGCATCCCTCTGCTCTGGCTCAAAAGTTTAAGGAGACATTTCACATGTTACAAGTATTGGGACATCGTGTGACAAAAGAATGTTTCTCAGTATTCAATACTAATGGAGCTATGATCAAAGTGCAGAAATCAAAGTAAATTGAAAAGTTGAACCTGTTATCAATACACCCCATCAGTAGCTTCATCACACTGATAGACACGACATTCATTTGGAGGCTTATCATTCCTTCTAAAGAGGATAGTGAGACAAACTAAGATGGTATTTGCACTTCTTTTAGCTTGACATCCCAATGCTTCTAACATCGTTTTAGTGAATGGTCGATATGGCCAATTATGTATATATGTTATGGAAAATATGTTGGTGTCAATTTAGAATGAGGAGAATCAGTAGAACACTTCCTCTAACTTGCCTTTCACCAATTTCAAGTTAGTCGCTTATTAGGTGATCACAGTTAATGGGATGGTGTGAAACGTTATATTTGTATATAAGTTAAAGGAATGCAGCAAGAGTCTTTTATAATTTAACTATTCCACTTAACTTATTTATGTGCCACTAAGTGTCTTGATATGAAACATTTAATGTCATGTGTTAGTCTTCGTCCAAATACCACTCCTGTTAGTTTTTCATCAAGTCTAAAATACATACAAAGCAGAGTTCAGTTTTGTTATGTAATGTGATTTGTTTATCCTTCTTGATTTATTTAAGTCTATTTTGACCACTGGTTTTGTTTTATAGTGTAATATCTCTTTCAATGTTTTTAACACATTTATCTCCAACAACGCCATATAGATTGGAAGCAAATTGTTTCGTTGGCTTTGGGAAGGGCGACAGTGAAATAATTAGATTCATTACATAGATCAGAATTTCTATGGTGCCACCATAAAGATATATTTTAACTCATGTATTTTTGGCTAGCCTAGCGATGATAACATATAATGTGAAATACTACAAGTAGCTTCTGTTCAATAACTCTTCTATTTATACTTTCTGGAATAAATAAATTATTAAAAGACAAGCTACTAAACCAGGCCCGGCATGACCAGGTGGTTAGGGCACTCGACTATCAATCTGAGGGTCGTGGGTTCGAATCCCCATCACACCAAACATGCTCGCCCTTTCAGCCGTGGGGGCGTTATAATGTGGTGGTCAATACCACTATTCGTGTGTAAAAGAATAGCCCCAAGAGTTGGTGATGACAAGCTGCCTTCCCTCTAGTCTTACACTGTTAAATTAGGGATGGCTAGCGCAGATAGCCCTCATGTAGCTTTGCATGAAATTCAAAACAAACTAAGCTCCTGAACCTTTGTATTTTTTGCAATTTCTTCAAATTTGGTCTATGGTGTCACTTATATCATAAATGTACCAACTATATAGAATCAACTGTACAGTAAATTTTACTCCATCCTGTATAGTGGTCTCACGCAATCATATCTCAGTTGTCACTTTGAAGTGAATCACAGAGTTCAAAGTACTCAAAATTGTCAATAAATTATGGCTAAACCTTGATACAATTTTTACAATGTTTTCTTCATGATAATATTCAAATGTATGAAGTTCTGCTTATTAAAAGAAATCAACCAGAGAAAGATGGAAAGTTCGCAAATAAAACGGTTTTTATAATTGTGTAAATTTGTGAAACCTAGAATATTAGTATTTGCACGGTTCATTAACCCGTGATAGTCTACGTACGTTTAGAATGCTAATTTTGTTAAAGAAGTAACTGTGGAAATGGTAAGTTTGACGTCAACTTCATAACATCAGTAATCCAAGTACTTCTCACCTCTCTAGTTTTAGTCGTATCGATGCCTAGACTCTCCATTAACCTCAGAATTTTCTCGTTGAATTCTCCAACCTTGGCCGCTTCCCTATCACTATAAAAAGAACCAAGATGTAGTGGAAGGGGCAAAGAGTTCCCACGTTCAACCTGCATCCACTTATGTTGCTTGATGTATTCTATAGTGAACCGTTTGCTTGGGTCTAACACTAGCATCCGACGAATTATGTTTTCACATTCTGGGAAAATAACATAAACATGTAACGTTGGCGTTAAAATATGTTTATCTCCTCAATAAATTTAACTAATACACACTGATAAAAACAATCAAATTATAGCTATGACAATATAAACTTATGGTTATAAAATATTCTATCACTCATTCACGTGGGCATTTGGTGATTAGTCGTAATCACCAAATGTAAATAACTGGTTATTCAACCTATATAATAAACATGGTGACACAAAACTGATTTAGTTGTTTCATTTAGAACGTAGTTTAATTTTAGCACCTTACTCTGAATTAAACAATAATTAAATTGGTTTCAATTGTCTTCGTAATATTTTCTTCAGTATACTGTATTATGCCAACTACATGAATTGTACCGACCGCGTAGAATCAACTGTGTAGTAAATTTTACTCCATCCTGTATAGTGTTCTTACGCGATCTTATATCAGTTGTCACGTTGAAGCAAATTGCATAGTTCAAAGTACTCAAAATTGCTCATAAACTATGACTAAACCTAAGAGAAGACAACTGGATGTCTTGCATTGGACAATAGGAAAACATCCAATCACAGCAAATTATTTTATATATATATATATATTGAGTCCAAGCTTCTCAAAGTATCGATAGCAGCACGTGAAACTACTTTTAAACCAATAGTATGATTATTTTGACAACTAGACAATGGAAAACATCATACGCAACACAAGCATGTGACCACTATCTTTCAATTCTGGTTCATTGCGAGTATATGCTCCAAGATTGAATCATATGTTCGCATCTGCAATTGAACGTCACGTCAATGAACAGATAGCTAGAAATAGCTTCACATGGCCAAAGTCTGTATGCCAATTGCCAATGCACAAAACATCTCGCCTACAATGGTGTTAAGAACAGTGGACTAACAACATATGGAGTAATAACATTTTTAGACATGACTCGAGCTTCGCCCTGCAGCCAGATAACACGTGTATACTCATCTGAAAAATATCTGAAACTTGGTCCATCCCAACTTAATATAGGAACGTGATGAATATGGCGCTTGGTGAGTATCATTTGAACAGGATTAAGAATGGTATAAACAACGCAACACATGATAGAGGCCACTTCCTACAACCTTTTGTGCTATAAAATGTTGGTGAAATTGGCCTTAAGTTTAGCCTAATAGGTGATAACGCTCAACCACACTGTGCTAGACAGGTCAACACATTCCTTGAATACGTAAAATTCAGAGAATGAAGTGGCTTTACCATTCATCGGAGATTAGTTCCATTAAGCACATAAAGAATACTCTTTGGAAATGTTGTCATGAACTGCAGAAAATGTAGAACTATATCAAACACGTGATAAAAGGTATATAAAATTACGAATACTTTGGATTTTGGAACACCTAATTTGCTTATATAATAACCAATGTGAGTAAATCATATTATTTTATAATAGTTATTTTTCCTGTTCATAACTACAACATGTTGTATCTAAAACCAAATTCAATGATAAAACTGATATAAACTTTGAAAGCGATTTTAAAACACCCAATGTTGTCAGGTAGCAACCATGATCCTAACCGACTGATTTGATATTTTCATGTAGATAGTTGAAAACTATGATTCATACACCAATGATAGTACATTTATGTGGTTCTTCCCAAGTTACATAGTATGTCAGCATACATTGTTAGTAAATGGCAATTATGATTCTTGCTCTAATGATACATTACGTAAAATAGAAATTCAAAGGGGCGTTCTTGTTAAACTAAAGTATCACTTGATAATGCAGTGTAGATGATCAAATGCTTAGAAGTAAAATCTCCAAGTGACTTTGTTAAGATTTTCCATACTCAAATACATGACCTTTATGACAGAATAAATAAAACTTTCCAAGTGTATGTTTTGCTATAAAAATTATTATCATAATTATTATAAAATACGTCTTTGCTAAGAGTAAAAAACACAAATAAATTACATCTTTACTGCTCAAAACAACAGTTGTTCTCTCAGATTGTTGGTAAAGTTACTTTCTCACACGCATGTATATATATATAAGAAGCTGAAATAAATAGCTTGGAGGGTTTCATAGGGCATGTTATTAAAGATATGGGAATTTTTCAACACCAAGACAAATAACATGCTGCTTTTTTCTAGATATTATTCATCCCATAAGCAGTTCTGAATATAAGGCATATTCTCGTGCAACACCAACCGACAGATTGTTCGAAAAATGGGAAGATCAAAAATGTTTATGAGTAGAGAGGTTATACAATTGTTTTTCAATGGTGCAATAATACTAAGATATATATATTTATATATCTACAAATTAACTCAATTGTTTTTCAATGGTGCAATAATACTAAGATATATATATTTATATATCTACAAATTAACTCAATTGTTTTTCAATGGTGCAATAATACTAAGATATATATATTTCTCTCCTTCGTATAATTTTTATATATTTTTAAAATATTACTTAAGAGTGAAGGAGTGTCGAAAAAAAAATAGTTTTGCCAAAATTTAGCTAAACAGATTGAATGAACTTAGTTTTAGTTGGAACGGTTAGTTATGGCGTTTTCATGCCCTACTGGTCAAGAAAGTGCAGAAAATTTCATTTTACTTTTAAGATTGTCTTTTTGTTTGTTTATAATTAAGCACAAAGCTACACAATGGGCTATCTGTGCTCTAACCACCACGGTATCGAAACCAGGTTTTTAACGTTGTAAGTCCGCAGACATACCGCTGTGCCACTGGGGGGCGATTGTGTTTTTACATCAACTTATACAACATATTTCAATTTCTTACTTTACACAGTTTCAATTATCTTTTATAAAAGAAACGACAAACTGTGACGAAAAATAAAACCATTGAAGTAGTGAAAATAGTTATATTTCTAGGGATTGTAAAGGAATATATTAATATATATTCATTGTAAAAAAATCATGAAATAAAAAGAATACTGTATTTAAGCAATATCTAAGAAAAACTATTTCGGTTTTTAACATACAGTTAGTCGATAAAATACATTCAAAAAGGTGCTAAATTATAAGCGTCAGACGCTGGAACTGCTCGAAATCAAACTAACTATATCCATACATGTACAAGCAAAATTTAAATAAATGATTTGATATATAAAAAGTTAGTTTAAACAACTTTATCAATGAGACATTAATCTCTATACAATAACCTATTCCTATCCTCTCTATTTCAAAACAGTATTTAACCTAATATGTTTTATTTTAATATGCAAAATATGAAATTGCATGTTCTATTTGAAAGAAAGTACAATAAAAAACTGATATAACTTTTGAAAAACGAATTTAACTGATTTGGTATTTCCATAAAGGGGTGGAAACTATGACTCATACATCAATAGCAGTATTTCGGCAAACATTAGTAAATGAAAAATGTGATTATTCTTCTAATAATACAGTCTTTCTATTGCTAAATACAAAAACAAAAAGGGATGTTCACTTTAAACTAAAGTTTGACATCCATCATTCTAGATTGATAAATTTTAACCACACTTGTCTCAAAATCATTCTAAAAAAAATTAAATGTGGACAAAACTGTGGACGATTATATTTAAATAGAAAACTTCTCACCCGAAGACATGAAGTATGGAATGCGAAAGCGTCCAGATAAAACACGCTCCCGAAGGACTTGAAGACTACTTCCGTCAAAAGGTAGGGTTCCACACACCATCACGTAAAGTACCACGCCTAAACTCTGAATGTGTGAAAACCATCAATCAAGAAAATTATAACCATAAAATATAATTCACGCATTCAAGTAGGTACAAGTAAAACATTAATTTAATTAGTTTACTATGCAATTTTCACCGGTTTTTACATATTTTTAGTGATGAAAGAAAATTTACAATAATACAATGGTGGGTTGATTTGAACTTTCGTGCAAAGCTACACAAGGCCTTCCTGGGCATAGCCGTCCCTAATTTTTAACTGAAATACTAGATAGATGTTATCTCAGTCAACAACATTCACTTATCCCAAAATTCAATTGTTTTTGCAGCAACAAGACACGAACCACGAAATCTCGTATTCATATTCTAGGCACGCAAACCATTAGGCTAAACGAAGCTGAATTATGTAATTAAAGCAAATAAAAAAAATATGCAAATTGTAAGAATCTCTAACATGTGCCATAAAGGATTACTTTATCATAACAAGGAATGCCATTTCTTAGAGAATTAAAAAAATTGTGACATAAAAAGCATATTAATAATTAGATCTTTTAATTGGTCTTATTGTGTATTTACCCAAACATCGATCTCGGGACCCACATATTTCTTGCCTTCAAATACCTCTGGTGCTGCGTATGGAGGACTCCCGCACCATGTGGTCAGGAGGTTATCCAATGAGTAATAATTGCTGAAACCAAAATCTACGAAAATAAAGTTCTAACTTAGTTACATACTTTAATAAATCATTAGAAATTTGTATAACAGTAGCAAAAATACAATGCCTCAATACATCAGCATATGGTTTATTAATATGAGATTAAGACTTTATTTCTACTAGAACATGTTTTCTTATAAAGTACACCAAAATATTAAATGTTTTTAAAAATCGTCTGTACATTAAATGTCAAGCAATACCAACAATTGATTACTAAGAACTTCTGATCAAACGTAACTATCCAGAACTTTATAAATTCAGGAACGGACCAAATAATGAGTTTACTTGCAGGCCTTGACACATCCCAGGCACCAGGTCGCCATGGCAACAAAAGAAATTCATCGTGGCGCCTAGTATTTTCTCCAATTTTATTTGTGCGTAGGGATGTGCTAAATATAACTCGAATCTAGAAAAGTTCTGGACTCTTGGAAGTCCGGAACTATTTTTGCGTTCTTTGAGTCCAAAATCGAACTTTATTTCTAGAATTTTAATGGCGGATTCAACACTTCTTCATGTTTTTCAGGAATGAAGCACTGTGGTTGCATAACATGTTACTGATTTCGCTCAATTTTGTTTTTCTCCTTTCTCTCAATTCAATCAATCACGGCACGTGTTTAGTCTCAGAGGGAACCAAAGGCAGTTAGTTCAGGCAATGTGGTTGTTGATATCATGTGATCGTTAGCCTCTATCTCCCCTGTACAAACTTGTGCGAAGTTAGGTTAGGTACACTGTGTTTTTGGGCTGGCTCCTAGATCTGAAAATATTTGTCGAGGCCTGAGTTAAGTGGAAGATGATTCTGGTCTATAATGTTATGGTGGTTATATATAATACAACTGGGCACACAAGATAATTTTGTAGAAAGTCAAATACACCATGTTATTATCACTGTAGGTTTTAAAAATCACTATGAACATAACATGGACTTTGGGGCAGATTTAACCCTCAAAGTTGACAGCACAGCTTATTTGAATATTTGTCGAGAGGACAAGAACTAGTAAATACTTCATTTGGTATATGTTCTCCTTCGTACCTGGAGAACCAGGGATGAACGATAAATTCCCTGTAACATCGTGGCATAAGCCCGTTTCGGTAGTGGTTCATTCTTGTTGTGTAGAGTTTCATCTGTGCGAATGCATGTAGATTTCTTTATTTTCGAGAGTGAGGTTATGATATATTACTGTGGCATAAAACAAGAATATTTGACCATTCTATCAAACCATAAGTGATGTCGCACATGCCTTGGTATCAAACTGCAAACACTGTGATGGACTATCCTGAACAATATAAAATAAAAATCACAGCTAGACAAGCAAGAAATTATTATTCAATCACACTGGATCTCTTTCAACAATTTATCACATCACACTGAATATAGAATAAGACGCCATAATGTCACCCGATGATGAAAAGAAGTATGTCATGTAAGTGTAATGATCTTATTGATGCTAGTATGGCTCATAGTCGTTAAACAGCATCATTATTTAAACATAATATTTTACAGAAGTAAGACCCAAAACTTGATCACTTGAATCTGACTGTGTATATTTTTATGGGTTTTAGCAAGGGACATAAACATGGTGTGAGCTGGCTAACATTTCTCAATTTGTCCTGTTTTTCTAATATTTTTTAATTCTGTGAGTTTTTAAGTTATATGTGTATTTAACAACTTTTTCCATATCTCTGTTAAAAACGTAAAGTAGTTGTAAATCGTACTGTTTAGGAATGTGACATTACTAGCCTGGTTAGAGATGAGCTTACCTTGTAAGTTGGACCATGAGTAACTATCGACAAAACCCAAGAAATATTCAGTTCACTATTACACTGGCTTTCCCCGCTCAAGCAGTATCTAGATGTATCTGTATTTTGTAATTTTGGCAAAGCTACTAAGGTTATCTGCCGTTGTCTCTAATTTTGAACTACTGACCAAAGGAAAGACAACCAGTCTGGAGCACCCTACCACCCACAATCCACGCTAAGGAATTGACTGTCACTCTTATAACACATCGCTTAACGTACGGTGAATATTTTGTGGTATAGCATAGACTCAAAATCCAGAGCTCTGCCACATGGCCATCTTGCGACCAGTATGTACATGTATGTGCTGGAGAAGAAAATATGCTCTACTGTGTATTTAGTGCGAGCTAAGCCATTTTTCATTCTTAACAATATAGTCCAAAATTATGCAGTGTCGAAAAATAATAATACGCACGATACACTCGTGATCTACATATATGGCTGAAAAACTCTACTTAACCTAGAATTAGCCTGACTAAAAAAAGCCTATCTCGTCTCCTACACTCAGTACATCAACTCTCTTATATATTTAGCTGAAGAACAATTTAAGTATATATTATTGTTCTTTAACTTTTTTGAGTAGTTTATGTTATGTTATTTTTAGTTCCATCAGTAAAGACAATACGAATACCAAAAACTTAGTGTTCCAAGTATTATTCATATACACACACAAGAATTACCTGCTATTTTGATGTTCATGTTGTCATCCAGTAAAAGGTTTTCCGCCTAAAGCATAACAAATATTTTTATAAATAAACAAAATGGTCAAAGTGCATGAGTGAAAAGTTTCGACAAACATTAGAGCTAAAGATAAACTCAATTCACTGTCTTATTCTCATATTGTATTAATATTTTCATAGAAACAGGAGATCTTAAATTGAAAACAACGTGCACATCTTAAATGACAAAAAATATATACAAAAGCTAAAGCTTTCAGTATGAATATAATTCGCTTAAACTATTACGATTCAATATTTTTAAATATCTGTTTTATTTAATTAAAAACTCAGAATCTGATTGTTAGCGTAATATTTTCAAATATTATGAACCAAAGCTTTCCAAATTCTCGGTAAAATGTCAAACATAGTGTACACTGTGTAGCAAAAATCTGTGCAGTTCAGCTTGCCTTACTAAGATAATGAATTACAGCAAAAAAAAAAATGGATTATTGAGAACTTGCACATCGCTCAAAGTATGGTGAATATTTTGTGGTATATCACAGACTCAAAATCCAGAGCTCTGCCACAGGGCCATCTTGCGACCAGTATGTACATGTATGTGCTGGAGAAGAAAATATGCTCTACTGTGTATTTAGTGCGAGCTAAGCCATTTTTCATTCTTAACAATATAGTCCGAAATTAGGCAATATGGTAAATTTTCTGAATTATAACTTAGGGCAGAGCATGGTTCAAAATCACATTATTTGTATCAGTAAAAAAGTGGCCTGATAATTTTGGGTATTGTATGTTTAGACTCAAACTATCTTGTTAAACAAGTATGAAGATGTTAATATCCATGACATTTGGATATCAAATAACAATGAAATAAGTTTACATGATACTTAAGCATGAAAATTTATAAACACTGGTGTTTCATTTCACAAAATATACGACTTTATCTACGAAAATTCATTTGGTTGATTAGCTTTCTTATTATGCCAATCGAAATAATTATTTCAAAACTTTTAATACTATCAGTAACAAACAACATATTTATTTCTGATGCTTTTAAGTAAAAGTTTACAAAAAAAATTGTTGGTATTTCTACGGTTGCTAACTTATAAACATTTGTAATTAATCTGTATTTGTAAAAATAAAATACAAATTCAGATGTATCGACTTTAAAATAGAGAAAAACTGATTACGCTTGGTATTGCTAGCGCACAAAAATATAGCTAATAAAAAAGGAAACAAAAGTCTCACAGATTAATTTACTCTAATTCTACATAAAAGTATTTCCAGTGGCACGGCTATTGAGGATTCTCTCTTGTTTAGCCGCACTATAGCGGCTCATAGAATGGCTCCGAGTTTTTCAAGTACAAATTTTTAGTTCATAGCTCCTTCATCTCTTGACCGATTTGATATCTAATTACAGTTTTGGACTCAGGTCTCATAGATTAATTTACTCTAATCCTTCCTAAAATAACTTCAATTTGAGAGTAAGCTGGTATAGATCCATATGAGTAATAAAATCGAATCGGGTATGCGCTCTTTGCTCTTTTCGTGACAGGAATTTAGTTTTTAAAGGAAAGTAAACTTTCCTCAAGTGGGTTGTTCAGATATTATTCATGGCCAAGTGGTTAGAGCACTCGACTCGCAATCTGAGGGTCGCGGGCTCGAATCCCCGTTCCACCAAACATGCTCGCCCTTTCAGCCGTGGGGTCGTTATAATGTTACGGTCAATCTCACTATTTGTTGGTAAAAGAGTAGCCTAAGAGTTGGCGGTGGGTCGTGATGACTAGCTGCCTTCCCTCTAGTCTTACACTGCTAAATTAGGGACGGCTAGCGCAGATAGCCCTCGTGTAGCTTTGCGCGAAATTCAAAACAAACAAACAGATATTATTATCCCCCTTCTACCCGCTCCCGGCAATTGTATTTGTTATATTCGTGAGTTTTTATAACATTGTTGGAAAAGTTGTTTGTACTTTTGACTAGTGGTATTTAAAAAGTGAGGCCTCTATGGAGAGAGAGGGAGATGTCCGGTGGATTACAGGGCAGAGAAGAAACCAAGGCTGTAGACGTGAAGTTGTAGAGAAGTAAGGAGACGAACGTTCGACAAAGCAATCAACAAACTTCCTATGATCAGGGTCACGAGGTGGCTGGGATCTATAAATCCAATGCCACGGGTGAGATCATTGAATCCAAGTGCCTTCAAATTTGCTGTGGGAGGAAACGGGAGTACCCCAAGAAAACCCACTTTCAAAAGACAAGGCGCCGAATATTCTATCTGTCCTGTGCCCAGTGCTGAAATATAAAAACACAAAAAAATTATTAGTTTGAACATAGATTTTTTTTTCAGAGGTTGTTTTAGGGTGTTATGGAGGCCATGTATGTGTTGTATGTAGATATTGTTTTGTGTGTGGCACTGGTCAAGGTGTATTTTTAGTTTCTGCTGTTTGGTAATATTTGTGGGCTAGTGTTGTTAATCTGTCTTTAAGTAATGGAACGTGGTTAGTTTTGTGCATATATATGATATATTTTGGTAATCTAAGGGCTAATCTTTAGACTCTGTTTTGTTGAAGTTGGAGAGATTTAGCGATATTTTTGGGCATATTGTAGGTGATTTGAGAGCCGTATTTTATTAGGGGGCGAACATACGCTTTATAGAATTTTAAGATAGTATTAGGTTTGCATCCTTTATTGTTACCTGTTATGAGTTTTATGTGGTTATTTCTTTTGTTTGTTGATTTATTAATGTTTTTGAAATGTTGCGACCAGGTTATTCTTAGTAATTTCGCATGGGGGCATAACTTTATTTCTTCATTTCCTAATTTGAGTTTTACATTTTAACGTTTTTGTAGTGTTTATTTAAGCTGCGTTTAAATGCGATACCAATGGTTCTTATGTGATTCAGTAGGACTCGCCAGTCGTTATACCAGTTAAAGATTGCATCTAAGAATTTTTTTATTGCTTGCAATTAGTGGGTTGCGTGAAATACTCCAAACGGGTATAGACGCGTCCCACGCTTGGTATTGCTGGCGCCCAAAAATATAGCTAATAAAAGGAAAAACACGGTCTCATAGAATAATTTACTCTAATCCTGCCTAAAAGAATTTCAAGTGCCGCAGCTATTGAGGATTCCCTCTTATTGTTTTTTCATTCACTTGTGATAACAGTAATTATCACAACTAGTAACTACATACTGCAGCAGTGTCGTCGCTAAGCTATGAAAACACACAGCACCAAACATATTTTGTACATATGCAGTAAGAAAATTAGGTTGTTCTTAGACCGTCTGAATATTTTAACATGTGAATGAAAATAGCGCATGTACCTTTAGATCTCGATGTACAATGCATTGATTATGGCAGTATTGTACAGCAGACACGATTTGAGAAAATTTCTTCTGAGCCACTGCCTCTGGCATCCGACCATGACGAGCAATAAACTCTAGAAGAAAGAAAACGTTAGTAGGGATATAAACTACTAAAAGCTAAAACAATACGAAGTTATTCCTATACAACACATACAAAATAAGAACAAAAATTATCTATCCAGAAGTTCACACTTAAGAAAAAGGTTTTAGAAAGTTTGATTTACTTTAACACATTCATGTTTTTATCACTATGATAAAGTTTATTTGCTTAACAGGCAGTGGGTTGATTTTTAAATCACAGAATACGCTTTTATTTAAAACTACACGTTATAGGTTTACCATGAAATGAACACAAACCACAAGGCTATCAAAAACGCAGATCACCACATATTAGAAAGAAACACATTTTCAACATTATATTCCACCAGACAGCGTAATCATCATGTGATCAAATAAAATAACGAAATAAGAAACGGAATGGAAGTTCGCAAATGACTGAATTATCAGATCATCTGTTAAAAATGTGCGCCAAATATTTAAAAACTTGAAACCAACTCCAAGAAGTATGTCATTAAAAGCAGTCTGTAAATGCTCAAGTTCGTTTTGTTTTATACAGAACCGTTGAACATTTTAAATGCATAATCGAACATGTTATGAAAGTTGTAACATGGATACAGTTTGTTTGTTATAGATTTCGCGCAAAGCTACACGAGGGCTATCTAATTTAGCAGTGTAAAACTAGAAGGAAGTCATCTCCACCCACCACCAACTCTTGGGCTACTCTTTTGTCAACGAATAGTGGGATTGACAGTCACATTATAACGCCCCCACGGCTGAAAGGGCGAGCATGTTTGGTGTGATAGGGATTCGAACCCGCGACCCACAGATTGCGAGTCGAGCGCCCTAACCACCTGACCATGCCGGGCCAACGCATGGATACAGATCAATAAGTCCAACTGTGTGCAAACTTCTTAAAACATATTTAATCAAAAACAGTTCTGATATGTCTTGTCATACCTTCTAAATTGAGTGTCATCGCTTTCACGGTATTTGATAAACCTGTGGATGCGAAAGAACAACGTTATATAAAATTCAAATTAAAGGTTTTCTTCTGTGGTATAATCAGTATACTAAATGATTTTATGTGCACACTAAAGAACTTTTAAATATGTTATTAAATACTGTTTATGTGTTTTTTGGTTGGATCTGAAAGAAACAAACAACTACAATTACATCATTAAAATTACTTTTGTGTGATCATCGTGTGTCTGTTATCAAAGTAACACTAATCTACCTGATTAAAAACGCTTACGAAAAGCACTGGTTACGCTTTAAGCCTTTTGTAACGAGTTACAAGATCTGGTATTTCATAACATACAAGTCTGATTAGTATATATTTATGAATAAAGAAATGTTGAAATGTTAACATTAATTTTTTTTCCAGTTACAACGATTTTGCCTTATTTCCCCCTAAATATTCTATTATAATGTACCTGAATTGGTTTGGTTGCTTGTGATATCTATGAAGGTTTATGTCGAGAAAAAAAATTAATGTTCTTCAGATTTTACATAAAAATATTCATTTAAAATGCCGTAGAAGAAATGATATATTCCTCAGTTTTTTTTTTTTCTATCTTGAAGTAATATGGTACAACATAAAAAAACAAGAAATAAACTAACCCAGTTTGAAGAAAAAACAAAACCTATGATTTGTATGATGACTTATTGCATTTTTGAATTAATTACTACTTGTAAGGCTATGAGTCATTTGATTGTTTCTATCGGTTTATCCGTCGAATTCTATTTTAACCATTTTACGTTACAGACCACTGTTGTGTTATAAAACACAAAAATCTTACGTGGGAAAATATATTTAATAATTTTGTTTCATGAACACGAAATGGAGGAAAGCAATAACTCACGTTCCCATGGCAACAAATAATTAAAACAACAAGGTGTGTTTTTGCTATTAGCCAGCCATACGATAAATCTTTTGGTTGCAGTTATCGTTTGTGTTTAACTAATTACTTTGTATAATAAACTCTCACAGATTTTGAAATATATGTTCTTCTCTGAGCAACACCTTTCTTAATTGCGACGTATGAGTAACACAAACAGTTTTGTATATGAAATTCGTATTGATAATTGTAAGTAGATGTTACAGTGACTGAATATTTTATGTACTTGTCAGAGTGACAAATATGGTTCTATCTGACATAGTACATTAAGAACTAATTTTCGAACTTATTTTCATTTTGGTAGCACAAGGCTATATCTCACACAAACTGCTTTCCGGAAAGGTGCCCAAATCGCCTCCAAAGGAAAAACGATCAATTTAATTTTTTGTTGTTGTTATTTCAGCAACCTAAATTGAAGAAAGTTGAAAAGTACAGCTGCTTGTCGATCACTTAAGATCTACAAAAACCTGTCGAGAACGTATTAATTTTTACTATATTTATATTTCAAGTGAATTGCTTTGTGTTTAGTTCATGATTTCGTTCCCCCTCCAGTTTTTCCTTGCCGCCATTACTTCTTACAGAATATTTCAAACACCAGTCGATAGAGACTCAGATCCTTGTATTTGTTCTGAGAAGGTTGTGATTTTATTAACTTGTGGTGTATAAACATACAGAATATGAGGTAATAATAACAAATCCGTTTGCCATCCAACGACAGACTTTGATTAACATCGTTAACATGCAACCTTTCCTTGCTAAGCTTGATTAACAGTGGGAGAATTAAACGACACTTTACTATCCCGTTGCTAACCGGATGAAGCTATGCGTGACATAATTTCCGATTGCCCAAGTTAAGGAGATGAGAGAAATAAGAATTATAGCTTGAAGTCTAGATCTAACTCTGCAATATAAAGAACATTATTATAATTTTCAATTTCAAGTGATAATAAAGGCCTAATGAAATAACATAGTACCGGAATTTTAGTAAAGATTTTCTACTTCATTTTGGTTTTATGCAACTTTTATCATTCTTATTGTCATTTGTCAAGTTCGAACAAAAAATAATGGCGATTTTATTATTTTTAGTTTTCATATACATATAGGTGGCTGACGATGATGAAATCAGAATATTATGAAACGATGACGAGGTCATAATTGGATATCTTTACACTGGTTGCTGTCCGTCTCTAAAATTACAGAATGTTATTTCCCCAAATCTAATCAATTATTAAAATTCCAGCATCGCTCTAAAGCACAGTTCTGAAAACTTGAGTTTTGTAAGGTTTTCTTGTAAATCATTAAACAATGTTATTAAAGTGTTAGTCCGAAACATTTCAAGAAGATTAAACTATATAGCAAATAAACATTGTTAACTTTGTAAGTGGATTTACCAGTCAGTTTTATTTTATTTTATTTTGTTGCAAGTTTTAATGCAAAAGAAAACGGTATCAGTTGTACTTTCTATCTTAAAGACAAAAAATATTTGAATTCAATTGGTGAAAGTCTCTATCACCAGTATGCCTGAACTTATGAAACTATTTGAATTCAGTGAGTGAAAGTCTTTATCACCAGTATGCTTGAACTTAAGAAAAGTAATATAGTTCACAACTGAAGTTCTTAGTTGATATGGGTTTTATTATGTAATGTGGATTAATATATTTTGCTATTTTAACGTACTATGACAATTAAGTAAGGTTAGCAACTTCAAACATTTACTACGATTAAGCTGCCTTGACCTACTTATAACTAAAAAGTATCATATTTAAGTTAGATTAAAAAAGCATAACTACTACTAACACTTGTCAGTACATATATTAGTAATACAAAGCATGGCTAGAAATGTGGATTTTCTGAAACATGTTACATAGAGAAGAAATAAATGTTACAAACCATTAAACAAATGCATTATTAGGTAGGCAGCACAAGTAAAAGCTGTGAATAAGCACAGATGTTCGCACACATCTTATAAGTGTGAAGCTGGATCCATTGGAAACTTCTGTAATTACAACAATAAGAAAAATCACAACTAACTAATAAGGAAATCGATATAAAATATTGTACTAATGTTCAAACGGTACGATAGAATAATGCCCAGAAGACTTGTGCCTTCTACACTTACAGAATAAAGTTGTTTATAGAGAAGTGATTTATTTTATTTGTTTTTTTACTCTGACTCCGATTTCGTAGAGTGGAAATTCGTAGCAGCCTGTGCTTTATTTATTTTACATTGTTTTGTTCTCCACTTTCCCAATCCAATCAAGCTGCCTCTCGTCGCTTCAAACGTATATTGAATTACTGTGGTTGTTCTAACATGTTGAGAATGACGTCAAAACTGACGTCAATCGGTAAACTCTTGGAAAAAACCATTGCTTCTTCAAACAGTTTCAGTATGAGATTTTAGCTCAAGGTTACACAAGGGCTACCTGTGCATAAACCTCACAAATATTTTAACTTTTAGACTACAGGGAAGGCAGTATTCACCGATAATTTTTTGGTTACCCCTGTCTGGCCGAAAGTAGGATTTCACTGTCATTCAAAGTGCGGAACACGTCCTTGTGACAATGGAACGCGAAACTGAACCACCTTATTCAAAGACCGAGAACGACACCCACTTGGTCATGTCTGTCCCATACATACTGGTATGTGGATAAAAACTTTAAATAAAATGTATCTAAAATTAAGAGAAAGAAAAAAACTGCTTAGCAAGGTGGCGCTCTCAGACCACTCTATCTTTTTTTGTTTACATTTTGAGTTCATGGCAATATCAGTTTGTTGTGCTAGAAGTTATATGTAGGAATGAAGTTGAGGACTGCCTTGCGAGTAGATTGACGCATGTTAGGTTTCACTTCTTACTGTGTTTACTGATGTCTTCGTTGCCATTTCTTATATATATATATATATATAGCGCACAAAAACCTATGTCTCTCTGTTTGTCTGTCCGTTATCTAACTACTCCTAGGTTGCTGGGCCAATCTCAACCACAATTTGTGGGGTGATAGTTTGGAACAGGGGTGTGTTAATGGTGGGTTCATAACCTCCTTCACCCCCAAATATGGCTGTTATTTATCATTTATTATATTTGACGTGCGTTAACGTTATCTATATCCATAGATGAC